TCCACACTTCTCTGAGAAGTGGCTGCATTCTCTTCTTAGAGAAGCATAGGTTAAGGAAGTTTTAAAGCAATCTTCTATTTCTAAATTATCAAGTACAAAACAAGTTTCTTATTTCAGAGTGAGGTTTCCACACAGGGTTAGCAAAAGAAAAGTAATTCATTCCTTTTCATTTTTGAAGGCATTGCTTGACAAGCCAATGCCTGCCTTGTTATGCTCCAGGAAATCAGGGGCCTTGCTGAGCAAATTATCTACTGCATGTGAGAGAAGAAGGCGGTCTTCCCTGTTTAAAATTTATGACCACAGTTTTCACAATGAACAATTGGAACCCTGAGCGATCTGAAATGTAACACTAAGAGAAATGACCTTTGATTTTTTCATAATAGTCCAAATTTAATAAAAGCCACATGTAAAATAAGCCCACAAGAAGAGATAATCTGCAGTAGCATATGTTCAGTATTAGAAATTTGAAGTCAAATTGCAAAACACGGTGGGAGCACCGCATGCAGGGGAAACCTGTACAGTCTATGTTGAAATAAAAATCCCGTCTGCTATTGTGCCTGACCGTGGAACTTGCCTTCTGTCATGTATGGGAGAAAGAAGGGGGCATGGGAGCAGTGTCACGACTTTACTCTACATACAGCAGGAGTGTCGGCCATCACAAGTGGATCTGGACTTCAGTGTGTTTCCAGTTATATGTTACAGCCTCGGTTTCATCTGTCCTAAGAGTAGGACCTCATGGTTGGTTGCTCCCATGGAGAAGGTAACTGATGGATGAGTTTCCTGCAGTCAATTAAAAAAAAAATCTGCCATGCCTTTGTTTGCATGCACTTGATGGGTGCACCCTGCTCTGTGGCATTGGCATATGTGAAGAAAGGGCTGGAAAGCTCAGCAGGGCTCGGCTTGTCAAGGGTTTGAATTCTGGCCCTGAGTTGGTAGAAGGAGGTCATCTTGCTTGTTGCTTGTTGCTTGTTGCTGTTCTGATTGGCAACTCTGGTGGTCATATGAAAAATGTTGGGGGCTGACGCTGTGTTGTAGTAGGTTAAAGCCCCAGCCTGCCGTGCCAGCATTCCATATGGGTGCTGGTTCGAGTCCTGGCTGCACTTCTTCCAATCCAGCTCTCTGCTATGGCCTAGAAAAGCAGTAGAGGATGGCCCAAGTCCTTGGGCCCCTGTACCTGCATGAGAGACCTAGAAGAAGCTTCTGGCTCCTAGCTGCAGATCAGTTCAGCTCTGGCTGTTGCGGTCATTTGGGGAGTGAACCAGTGGAATGGAAGACCTCTCTCTCTCTCTCTCTCTCTCTCTCTCTCTCTCTGGCTCTACCTCTCTGTAACTCTGTCTTTCAAATAAATAAAATAATTCTTTAAAAAAAAGAAAAGAAAAATGTTGAACAAGCCATGAGGAACAGATGCCCATGGGTAAGAACGGGGGCCTGCACCCCTGGCTGCATTAGGCCTTTTGCTTGCTGGAGCATGGTGCTTGCCAGGATCCCTGGGAGGAAGCCAGAGGGGCAGAGAGGAGGTGGTGACCATTTGCCAATCAGGTAGGAAGTGCTTTGTTTTATTTTTAAAAATATTTATTTATTTATGGGATTGGAGAGAGGAGGGAGAGAAGAAGAGAGAGACAGAGACAGAGACATCTGCTGGTTGACTCCCCAGTGCTCACAACAGCCAGGCCTGGCTGGGCCAAACTGAAGTTAGGAGCCAGGGACTCCATCTGGGTCTCTCAAGTGAGCAGCAGGGACCCAGCTTCTAGAGCCATCGACAGCTACCTACCTCCCAGGGCCTGCGTTAGCAGGGCGCTGAAGTCAGGAGCAGGAGCCTGGCTTCAAACCCAGATACTCTGATGCGGGATGTGGACGTCTTGACCTCTTAGCTAGACACTCACTCTGGAAGCATTTTCCAGATTTGACAACTGGTGTTAGTTGGGCGTCTGCACTGCCAGCCAGCCGCTCACTGGGAAGAACGAGGAAGCTGTGCTTCTGTGTTTCGTCTCCCTCACACTCCCTGTAGAGATCATTGCATCCCCTACAGCATGTCTTGAGTTAATTACTCTTCTTTTTGTCCCCACCAGCCGGATCAAAACTCGAAGGTCCCTACCTGGCCCATTTGGCTTTGCTGTAGCCACTACACCTGTCTTTTCAGCCTCACTACTCTTCCACCATTCCTTCAGGAGCTCACTCCCAGAGCACCGGAGCAATGGAGTGCTTCCCATGTGCCCGTGGCAGCACTCGGGTAACATGGCTCACCTGTGGCCCCTGGGGAGGGCCCCAAGGCTAGGGTTGCACCTTGCACGTAGTAACTGCTTCTGTTGAGGGTTGGTACATCAGCCCTGCCTACCTTGGTAGAGATGCTATTGGGCCTTTTGTCTGGTTGGTTAGCTGTGTAACAGTTTGGATCAGCTCCAGAGTGAGTGAGACAAAGGCATCAGCAGTGACAGGCCCTTCAAGTGCTGGCTGTATTCAGTAATCAAAGCGTAGCTGGATAAATGAATGGCGTACTTCATGTGTGTTTAGGGGAGGATTTGTTAGAGATCCTTCATCCACATCTTTTGTTATGTAATAGTGGTGACAGTGTACTCTTGTAACATTCATAAGGTAATACAGAGTTAAGTGTAAAGGAAGTCACTTGGAGTATTTGTAAGGACCCAAGCAGTATGCCCGGCACAGAATTAACAAAATGGAAATGAGCTCTTCCTTAAACTTCTCCACAGAATGGACTGTTCTCCATTTTCCTTCCCCCTCCATTCATCCAAACTGACCTCATCTCTTGCCTGAGCCATACAGGGGTCCATGCTGTTCCCCCCACTTTCTCAATCAGGCCTGGTGTCCGTCCAGCAAGAGCCCACTCACGATCTCACATTACAGTTAGGATAAAGGTTTGCATCTGGGGCCGATGTGTGGCACAGGATGCTAAGTCAGTGCTTACAACACCAGTATCCCGTTCTGGAGCTCTAATTCTAATCCCCATGGCTCCACTTCCAATTTAGCTCCCTGCTGATGCACCTGGGAAAGCAGTAGAAGATGGCTCAGAGGCTGGGGCCCCTACCCATGTGGGAGACCAGAGGGAATTCTAGGCGCCTGGCTTCTGCCTGGCCCAGCCCTGGCCATTGCGGCCAAATGCGGAGTGAGCCAGTGGATGGAAGAACTCTGTGTCTGTGTTTCTTTTGCTCTCTGTCACTGTGCTTTCAAATGCATACAGAAATACATAAGTCTTGTTGGAAGATTCTGATTTCTCTTTCTGGTCTCCCTGGTCAAGTTTGATCAGGTCCCAGGTAATATCATCAGCCATGAGCCATACTGCGCCCCACCAGATCCAGATCCGCACTGCTGGTGCGGTGCTCTAAGTCATCCAGGGGCTGCTGTCCGTGTGGTTTAGATATGTCCAGCTCTGCACCCACCACTCCTACCACTGTTGCTTTTTATTATGGAGCCAGCCTAGAATTGAACACAATTTTCAGTCATTCGTGGGCTTCTTGGGGGAGAGACTATTTGAGATGAAGGTTTTCTTGTGTAGTTTATAACAAAGGACTGGATTGGCCCTTGAGGTTTGCGATACAAGTACCTTTTATTTGGTTCTCAAAGGGTTACCTGGCTAAGAAATTGCTAAGGTGTGGTTACCAAGTCTCATTTTCCCAAGCAGCAACAATACTCATTCTCCCAATTTTGGTCACAATCAGGCCTCTGTAAAATAGGTTGTGCTGTGTTATTCTGAAGCAAACATTTTAAAAATTAGGGTGTATCAGTGAAACATAGGTGGGTTTAGCCCTACAGACGGCTATTGCTAAATCTGGAAATATTCAGTTATTCAGAGTAGGTCTCTCTTTGCAGAGCTGCTTAGGTGAAGAGCAAGCAAGGACAGTAAGGAAGATCAGATGGTGGAAGAGGAGGCAGATTTTGAATCTTAAACGAACAACTCTGGTCTAAGAGCAGCCTGTGGGTAGAAACTGAATATGTAAGATCAGTGGGCCTCCTGAGTCCTGGAGATACCTGTGCAGGGAGGCTGCTACTGGTGGGGGGGAGTGGAGACAAGAGGTGTGAGGGAGGAGAGAACGCGGGGTGAGGGGCAAGGAGGGGGAGAGAGTGAGTGAGAGCAAGGGCCACAGATGGCAGGTGGTGACTGTGTCCTTGAGAGGCCTCATTAGGGGGCCGTTGTGGCACAGAGTTGGTCAAGCCATCACCTGTGATGCCCATCCCAGATCAGAGTGCCCGTTAGAGTCCTGCCTGCTCCAATGCCAGCAGCAGAGAAAGGCCCGAGTGCTGGGGCCCTGACACGTGGGAGATCTGGATGGAGCTCCAGGCCCCTGGCTTCTGAGACCTTGGGGGTGTGAACAAGCAGATAGCGATTCATTCTCTCTCTCTCTCTCTCTCTCTCTCTCTCTCTCTCTCTCTCTCTCTTTCTCTCTTTCTCTCATGCTCTCTCTTTCTGTGCGTGTGTGTGTGTCTTCCGCTAACTCTGTCACTCTGCCTTTCAAATAAATAAAATTTTAAATAAAATCTTTGCAGGCCCATGGTAAATGGCTTCCGTCCCCAGCTGATTCTGATGGTGTCCAAGGTGGGAAGCGGTTATCCTGCTGTTATTTTTATCATGTGACTGCAACAGGCAGTGAGGTGGGGGTGGTATGATTCCGTCCGGCGGTCCATCTTTGCCTCCACCGTTGGGATTCCCTTCCCTGTTGCTCTCTCTGATTTTCTGTTCCATGGGATTTACCCAAGCTGGACTTCTGGCTAACACATCTGTTTTTTCTTTCCCTTGAGAGGGAGGTGCATTTCTTGGGGAGAGGTAAACACATGAGAGGTCTCCACAGAAGTTTCTGAAACATGTACATTTTCTTTTGATGCCATTTTTCCATGAACATTTTGAGGTTCCCTCGTGTGTGCATAGCAGTTTAGGAACCCAGGAGTCAACGAACATCCCCCTTATAGGTTCCAAGGCTTTTGGGAGAAGAATGACAAGCAGACCTTTCTGTGGTCAGCTCTGCACTGACTGTGTTGTTTGCCTGCAGTCTGCCACGAGTCCTGCGCAGGCTGCTGGGGGCCGACGGAGAAGCACTGCCTGGGCTGCCGGGATCCCCTGCACGTGCTAAGGGAGGGCACCTGTGAGAGCAGCTGCGGCGAAGGCTTCTACCACAAGCAGGGCACCTGTCACGGTAAGTGCTGGCCTGGGGTACCCAACTGGGCACATGTTCTCACATCCAATTACAGCCCCAGTAACCAACAGTTACTTCACTGAACAAACATGGGATGAAAAGACAGGTTGATTTGGTGCCAAAAAAAAAAAAATTCATGCTTAATTTTTCCATTATATTCATTTTCTATAAACTTTGGGAAGGATTTTGAATGCAAACGGCTGCTGACTCTGCTGGTGTCTTAGCAGTTCCTGGCACACTGTTCACCAGTGAGGTTCCCTTGCATGGTCCCCACAGTTGGTTAGAATTTGGGTGCTCGTCTTAGCGTCATTTTGCATATGAGAAATGTGAAGCCCTGGCTACCTGCTCAAGACCCACACCCTAGGGAGAGGTGCACCTCTGCCTGGTTTCCCACCGTCTTCTCGCCTCTTCTTCCTGGTCTTCCTCTGCGTCTCTGGATGGGCTGGCTACCCCTGTGGATGTTGCCAGGTTGCAAGCCGGCATCCTGACAGTAAATGAAGGGTTTGAGTAGAGTTTACTGCAATGATCACATCCAGAGAAAGGTTTTTCATAACCACGTCCACTAAATCAAGACAAATGCCCTGTCCATGAAGCTGTCTTCACTTCTTGGCCTCATGTGTTCACTGAGCAGCCCAGCAGCAATCAAACATGGTCTTTGGGATGTGACAGATCCCCGTGTCCTAGGGAAGAGAGACACCCTTAGCAGCTGTTTGCCTAAACATGGCCCAGTTGCATCAGCATGGCTGGTGGGAGAAGTCTTGCTTGCTGTGGCGGAGTCACAGGTGGCTTAGAGGTGGGAGAAGGAGGAAAAGAAGGCTGCCGTTAGCCTGCGCGTGGTCATCTTTCCCTGTCAGCATCACTTTCCTGCTTGTTAAGCCAGATGTGTTCTCTGAAGGCTGGCAGATGTCACATTTGCACTAATCCTGAGGCCTGAAGGCATTTACCCTGTAAGTCCCTGGAGAAGCCAGTCGGTTGCCGTCGCTGACACAGGAGTACTGACACTGACCCACTCCTGGGACTGACACTATCTGGACTGAGAATGCCACCTTAAAAAAGACTTATTTAAGCCAGGAGCCAGGAACTCCATCCTGGTCTCCCACATGGATGCAGGGGCCCATGCACTCGGGCCATCTTCCACTGCTTTCCCAGGCTCGTTAGCAGGGACCTAGATCAGAGGTGAAGCAGCCAGGATCTGAATGCACTTTGATAAGCAATGCCATATGGCAAGCAGCAGCTTAACCTGCTGTGCCGCAGTGTTGGTCCCGAGAGATCCACTTTTTCCAGGGACATGTTGCATTGAAAAGCAGGGAAAGTTAGCGCAAGCCTTGGGGCAGAAGAGGCCGGAATCTGCTTGGGCTGAGAGATGGAGCGAAGAAAGCTGGAGCTCCCTGTGGGCTGGAAGAGTCCAAGAGGCAGATTGCTCACGGGGTCACTTAGGGAGAGAGTGTGCCTCTCAAGTGCCCTCTGTCTATCTGTGTAAAGCATCAGAAAGGAAACTTCCAGGCTGGAGGTTGCGCCATGGCTAACTTTAACCAGCCAGCTAGTAGATCAATCAACAAGTAGTCTCCGAACCCATGCCTGTGTTTAGCACAAGGCAAGAGTTCCTGGTGCCCCCAGCAGGCTTCTGAATACAGAAAGACTAGAGCTTACACATTTCATAAAATTGATAAGAGTTCTCTACCTTTGTATCAAGCAACTTCAGAACGTACACAGAAATATTTTCTAAAACAATGGTGAGCCAAGCCACTGATGGGTATCGGAATGTTAATTAAGACGTTGGATGCTGATAACATTGACTTATTTCCAATTCAGATTAGTGCTATTGAAGGTAAAGGCCTGCTGGTGTTGGTTTAATAATTTATAACCATCCAGCCCATATCTCTGGAAATCTCAAAGTCAAATGCTGAGAAAAATTTAGCACAGCCTGTTATGAAAGAGTGGTATGCCCTGGCTGAAAGAACTTAGAGAAAGCAGGTTTGTCTGGGATACATGTTTTAGTTTTACAAGTATTAGATAGGAAGGGTGGGGCAATCAGAGGGAAAAACCTCCTCATTCTTTGTCGTACTTGTGCTGTTAGGGAGGACTCTTCTGGCTCTGCCTAGCGCAAGGATCAAAAACGGTTCAGAGGATTCCGTTAACCACATTCTCCCTCTCCCCTCTCTCCTCTCTCTCTTCTCTCTCTCTCTCTCTCTCTCCTCGCCCTTTCTCTTTCCCTCCCTCCCTCCCTCTCCCTATTCCTCCTTCCTTCCTTCCTTCTTTCTTTTATTTTCTCCATATTTCCCTTCTTTGTCCAGACAACCACTTTAGTTGTTTCTATCTTTTTTGTTTCCATGAACTTACCCAAGGTGACTATTTCTGTTTTGAACACATAAATACTTAATCTTCTTAAATGTTATGTTGCAGAGTTCATGCAGTTCCCGTCACTTCTCATGCAGGGCTGTATTTTCTAAGATTCACCTGTGTTGCCCTTCATCTGGGCCTTGGCTTCTCACAGGTGCATAGCAGTCCTTGTGTGCACTCTCCATCCCACCCCTGCACACTTCCAGGGAAGGTTCTCTCCCTTGAGGCCCTCCACAGGCCATCACTAGAGAGCAGTGAGCCCATTAATGAACCTGTAGGGAAGCTGTCCTGGGATTTACATGCGGAAGCAGAATTGCTGGCTTCTTGACTCAGCATCTGTAGTTGACTAAGGAGCGCTGGGTTGCCCACTGGCGCATCTGCACAGTCTACACTCTGACACATGAGGGTTCTCTTGCCTCCCCATTCTCACCACCATTCAGCATCGTCAAGCTTCTGGTCATTGCTGGTCAATGTGAATAAAGGGCTAGCCCACTTATCTGCATATTGCTGATTATTAGTCTATTTTCAACTCCTGTGGGGCTTCATTTATGTGTTTTAATGTGCTTTTCCCATTGTTCTATTGGCCTTGCTGCCTTTTATGGAGTTGGTTATATGGAGTCCATTTTATGTTATAGATACTAACTCTTGTCAGTTTAAAATATGTAAATATTTCCCATCCTGTTGTCATTTAACATTGGCTGTGATGCCCTTTGTTGAACAAAAAAATCTTTAATTCATTACTTTTTGCTTTAAAGTTTTGCTTTTGAAGTTCTGTTTAAGAAGATCTACTCTGCTCATATTCACAACTAAATTAGCCTATATTTTCTTCTGTTAATTTGATTTTTACCTTAGGTTGTTGATACATAAGTCTGTTTATGCTTGTGGATTTAACTAGGGATCCAGTTTTTTTTTTGTTGTTGTTTGTTTTTGTTTTTTTTTTGCATTTCATGCTCCAATTTTCCCAAAATTACATCTTAATTCATGTTTATTGTATCTGGTTTTCACATGCACAGTGACCTATCAGAGATATTCCATAGTCCAAATTTCTGTTCTGGTATCACTATCACCCTGTTTAATTCATTTGTTGGTACTGCCTTTCAAGTATATCCCCATACCTTTTTTTTTAAATAATTATTATCAGTTTGTTTGTTTGTTTAAGATTTTTTTATTTATTTACTTGAGAGGTGGAGTTAACAGACAGTGAGAGGGAGAGACAGAGAGAAAAGTCTTCCATTGTCTGGTTCAGTTCCCAAATGGCCACAACAGCTGGAGCTGAGCCGATGCGAAGCCAAGAACCAGGAGCCTCCTCTTCAAGGTTGACTTAGTTATTCATTTATTGAATAAGGAAATTCAACTGAAATTTTTATTGATTTTTATTCAAGTTATAGATTGGAGAGAAATGTCATCTCCCTAATAATTTCATTTAAATGTACAAATTATCTTCTAAGATTACTTTAGGTCTATCTAAGGATGCTTTATATGCCATATTTCCATTGGTGATTAATTTTAATTTTTTAGAAATTTTTGTGTTTTTTCAATTCTTGAAAATTTGATTCTGCTTATAGATTATTTAGTTGTGTTGAGATCTTGGATCTAGAATTAGAAACATCAGAACTTTTCATGGGGAGTGAGAGAGAGGAAGACCTTTCAGATCTGTTTGCTTCTTTGATGCAGTCCAGAGTTGAGAGGTGATTTTTCTTTTTCTTTTTCTCCCCAATATTAAGGTCATTTCTTTGCTCATTCACTGACATTTCTCACACCTTATACATTTGCTTATAAACAGGTGTCGAATCTTCCAGGATGCAGGGTGGAATGCTTGGCTTCATCATTTAGTGTCTTTTTTCTTAAATTCTTAAAATATTTTCCGGAGGTCAGCAGGGTGTGGGTGGCTTTCAGGAACAGAAGAAAGCTCAGCAGCTCTCTATTCCTGAATCGCGGATCCTCCGTGGTGTGGAGAGGTTGCTTTGCTGGTTTGTAGAGGAGTTAGCCAGGGCGTGTGGGGTCGCTGTGGTCGCAGGCGCTCCTACACCTGTGCCTACGGTGCTCTGGGAGAAGGAGGTCCCTCTCGGCTTCCTTCCGGGTCAGTCTTTCCACCTGTGCGCCTAAAAGTTCATCCCCCTTTTCACCTAGCTGTTTCCACCCATCAGTCACACTCTGCAAAAGCCTCCCAGCGTCCATACTGGATTTGAACCTTAGTGCTAGTGTGACACAGCCACCGTCCGGGCCCCCGAGTCCTTTCTCTCCCGTGCCCTTGCTTCTCAGGCGCAGGCCTGTCACGGAGCGGCTCGTAGCCGCAGCCTCCACTTTCACCCTGCTCAACTGACTCAGGTAGCACAGGCCTCCACGTCCCAGTTTCCAAGTGCAGCGGCATCTTTCCTGGGTCCTTCCTACGCTGCCCGTGACGGCCTTCCGGAAGCTTGTTCCTCCCCTGGCCTCCCAGCCTCTGGGCTCCTTCTTTCTCTCCTGCTCCTGAATCGTTTCTTCTTGGTCACCTTTGCTATTTTTGCCCCCTGGTTTGGTAAATGTTGGTATTGCCCAGATCCTCGCCTACTTCTGTCTTATCCTGCTTCCTTTTCCTGAATCAGTGAACTAACTTCTGGCTTCAACAACTATGTATGTGGGCTGATCCCCAGCCCTCTCTTCTGAGCCCTTGAACCATAAATCAGATGCCTGCTGGACCACACAAATCCCAGCTGAGCTCTTCGTAACCCCACGCCCGCTCTGTCTGAGGTTCTGTGTGTGGCCTTACTCCTCCCCCAAGGCAGATCCCTGGAAGCAGGCAGAGACGCTGTCTCCTCCACCACTCTCAAACCTTTCACATCCTCCATGGCCCTCGGTCAGCCATGGTTTTCCAACTGAACCCCATCTTTATGTTCTCACCCCTGCATCCCTGCCTCCAAACCTGAGCCAGAGTTTGTTCTTATGCACGAATACGGCCGATTTCTCCCGTGTTTAACGCTTCGCAGAGGCTCGCGGTGCCCTCCACACGATGAGAATCGGGACCGCAGAGTCTGGTTGCCGTCATCTGGCCCTTCCCACAGTTCCTGCCGAGTGGAACTGATGTTGCCCTGAACGGCTTGCTTCTCCCGGGAGCTTTGCTGCTTCAGCCTGGAGTGTTTCCCCTCAGCCCCGCACCATGCAACCCGAGACAACGCACTTCTATGAATCCTTTCTTCACCTTTCCTACTTCCTACTCCCTACAAAGTCTTTGCAATTTTTATTGTGCCTATGCAGACTGGTCTGAGTGATGTTTTTAGTATTTCTAATGTTGTCTATTTTGTTTCCCTCTTTCAGACCAATTAGCCACTTGAGGTAGAGATAAATTGATTTGATTTTTGACGCACATCTAAATAAGTGCTTTGGGGGTGGGTAAATGAATGAGTGGGTGAATGTGTAGATCCTAGAAGAGTATATGTAGTTCAACAATTTCAGCATAATTTTATTAATTTTTTTATTCTTTTTATTTATTTGATAGACAGGGATATAGAGACAGACAGGACTCCCATCCACTGGTTTACACCCCAAATGGCTGCAGTGGTTAGGGCCGGGCCAGGCCAAAGCTGGGAGCTGGAAACTCAATCTAGTTCTTCCACGTAGGTGGCAGAGACTCAGGTACTTGAGTGATCGATCACCTGCTGCCTCCCAGAATGTGCATTAGCAGGAAGCTGGAATGGGAAGCGGAGCCTGGACTTGAACCCCACGCATTCCAATATGAGATGCAGGAGTCCCAAGTGGCACCTTAATCGCTGCACTAAACACTCACCTCTCAACATAATTTTAGCAGCATCATATTGCCTAGTTAGATACTGACATTCTGAATGCTTTCTCCAAGTACTGTAAAATAAAGGAGAAACTATTTGATACATACTCATTCTTAAAAATTCTTCATTATTCACTGAAACTCATATTTCACTGGAGATCTGATATTTTCTTTTGATAAATATGGCAACCCTGTCTCCAACGCCATTTTAGATTTAAATCCCATTTTAAATTGAATATGCAGTGGATGTGCTTTGGAGTATTTGTTTTGCTTGGTTCAGTGAATAATTCTCCAATTCTCCTTCAACTGTGAAAAGACAGAGTCCTTAGCAATGCTGGAATCGAGAAAACAGCACTCCACTGAGCAGCCAAGGGAAGAGATTGCGGCATTGATACCAATCTGAACATGGCAGAGAACAAACCTCACTGTTTCCTTCCTCTGATGGACACTTCTTCCCCGTAGCTTGTGAGCAGTCCTGTAAGAGCTGTGGCCCCAGTAGTCCCAGATGCCTCACCTGTGCTGAGAAGACTGTGTTGCATGATGGGAAATGCGTTTCGGAATGCCCTGGCGGGTACTTTGCTGATGTGAGCGGCAAGTGCAAAGGTAACTGATACATAGTCATCATGATCCTCGGGAAGTATTTCATACGCATTTGACCTTGCCTGGCGCCGTATGCTGCCCACTTGGGAGCTTGGATGTGTAGTGGTGGAAAAATGTTGCTTTTTTATTACAGAACCTGTGTGTATTTGGCATAGGGGTGGGGGACAGGGGTGGATGCTGGCTGGCTAGAGTGATTAAATTAAGGATTTAGGCATATCGGTCATCATCCTTTTAATTCACTAACAACATTTTGAACATACAATCCTGTGTTCTTGCAGAGGTGGATAATGTAGGGATGCTGGGCCCACAAGCCATTTTTTTTTTAAAGATTTTATTTATTTTTTATTTGAGGGGTAGAGTTACAGACAGTGAGAAGGAGAGACAGAGAGAAAGGTCTTCCGTCTGTTGGCTACAAAGACTGGAGCTGCACCAATCCAAAGCCAGGAGCCAGGAGCTTCTTCCTGGTCTCCCATGCGGGTGCAGGGGCCCAAGCACTTGGGCCATCTTCTACTGCTTTCCCAGGCCACAGCAGAGATCTGGACTGGAAGAACCGATGCCCATATGGGACGCTGGTGCTGTATGCAGAGGATTAATCTACTGCGCCACAGTGCTGGCCTCCCACAAACCATTGTCTAAAGCCTGTGGAATCATTTGATCTGGTCCTGGCAAGTCAGCTGCAGGCAGAACTTGAAATGCAACAACTGTATAACAGGCCAGTTTTGAAGATGATGGTTCTAGATGGCCAGCGAATTATGCTATAAAAATCCAGGTGGCTCTTGGCCCACCCCAGTATGTAGACCATCACTAGTTAGGTTGTAGGTGTGACAGAATTATTTTTCCATGTCATTAAAAAAAAAAAGATTTATTTATTTATTTGACAGAGTTACACAGAGAGAGGAGAGGCAGAGAGAGAGAGAGAGAGAGAGAGAGAGAGAGAGAGATGCCTTCCATTCTCTGGTTCACTCCCCAGATGGCCACAAAGGCCAGAGCTGAGCCGATCTGGAGCCAGGAGCCAGGAGCTTCCTTTGGACCTCCCACGTGAGTGCAGGGGCCCAAAGACTTGGGTCATCCTCCACTGCTTTCCCAGGCTATAGCAGAGAGCTGGATGGAAAGTGGAGCAGCCAGGACTTGAACTGGCACCCATATGCAGGCAGCAGTTTTACCTGCCATGCCACAGTGCCGGCCCCCTTCCATGCCATTTATAAACTTATGCATTGACAACTACATTACACCACAAAAATAGGCTAATCATCTGCCTGCGGCGCCAGCACCCCGAGTTCTAGTCCCGGTCGGGGCGCCAGATTCTGTCCCAGTTTCTCCTCTTCCAGTCCAGCTCTCTGCTGTGGCCCAGGAAGGCAGTGGACGATGGCCCAGGTCCTTGGGCCCTGCACCCACATGGGAGACCAGGAGGAAGCACCTGGCTCCTGGCTTCGGATCAGCACAGTGCGCTGGCCGTAGCAGCCATTTGGGGGTTGAACCAATGGAAGGAAGACCTTTCTCTCTGTCTCTCTGTCTCACTGTCTAACTCTGCCTGTCAAAAATAAATAAATAAATAAATAAATAAATAAATAAATAAAGAAGTCTTACAGGTAGTAAAGTTGAAGTCTGTACCCATTGAAAGTGTGCTTGAAGGTGCTGTTTGTGTGTTGTTTCTTTCAGAGGTTTCCCTAACCTGGAAACCATTCCCATTTGAGACAGGTTTCTAATTTATAGTCACCTGATTTTGTGTCTTTCCTTACAGGCAGCTCAGAACTTTCTGCTGTCTGGGGGCAGCTTGACAGCTCCTCCCTGCTGACACATCCACGCACCTGCTCACTTCTGCCGAGTGTCAGCACAGGACATTTTGGTTGTCCCACCACATCTGCCTATGAAACTGTCCTGTATCTGCCAACCTGTTTACTCACCCAAGGTTCATCCTTTAGCCTTGGTGTTCTGTCCCCAAGGTTCTCATCCTATCTGCCCAGCCCCTCATCACTGTCCTCCGGAGTCTTCCTCCTCCTCTCACTTGGGTCCCTAGCCCTGCTAAAAGGCTCAGCCAAGGTCAGGTTATCACCTCCTGTCTCTTGGAGTCAGAGGTGTCTCCTTGTAGTAACCAAGATCAAATGCAGGGGAAGTACATACATGGCGTTTTCATATGTAGTAGTTAGATTCTATACTGTGATACTGTAATTCACTTAGAATCCTGGAAGATCAAACCTGGGAGTGTTGCAATGACCATTAGTCTACCCTCTCCCTGTGCACATGCTGAGAGACCAGCCACTGGCTAAGGGCATTAGTGAGCTGGTGATCAAACCGGTCATGGTTCCTAGTACTCCCAGTAGTCAGAACTTCCTACCCTTCTCCACCCAGAAAGTTTGGGGTTTAGGTCCAGAGAGACCTAGAGCTAAATCCCAGCCCTGCTACAAATGACCTCTGTGATTTGGATAATTTTTCAGCCTCCCAGGACTTTATCTTCCCCATCTATAAAGTGCAGTTAATAATACCCACTTATGATATTGGTATGAGGATTAAAAATGACCCTATATAAACAGCACTTAATGCGAACACTGAATCAAAGGTGGCTGGTAAGTAATAGCCAGCACATGAGTGAAAGAAGGGGCAGGACTGGTATGGGCAGTGTTGGCGGAGTAACCAGCTGCTCACACGTCTTTGCCCTGGGCTTGGTGTGGCATCTTGGTGAGGGGACTGCAGGTGCTCAGGGGGCTTCCCAGCTCCTATGAAGCCCAGCCAGGAAGTGAACTCTGTAGTCACCCGGGTACCCTTGTGTTTGCCTCTTATTCCCTTTTGCAGTTTGTCATAAGTCGTGTGCCAGCTGCTCGGGGCCCACAGCCTCTCACTGCACAGCTTGCATGCACCCCCAGGCTCTGCATCAAGGCCACTGTCTTTCCAGCTGTGCAGAAGGCTTCTACGCTGACCACGCAATCTGCAAAGGTATCATTGGTGTCGTCATCATTCTTAAGAGAATGGCCCATCAAGGGACATAGGTTGACTCTTTGCTGATAGTATGACTTTCCAGTGCAACTTTTCCTTTGGTGTATCTTACATGGCTACATACACATTACAGCTGGCTCTCATAGTTATGAGTTCCATATGTATCTGTGGATTCCGCATCCACGGGTTGAAAATATTCAACCAACCATGGATTGAAAGTGTTTGGGGGAAAAACATTTCACCAAGTTCCAAAAAGTGATACTTGTCTTTACTGCAGGCTGAGTACTAAGCTGAATGCATGCCATTAATGTATTGTGCAAGCAGTGTGTTAGTTATTGTAAGTATCCTAGAGGTGATTTAAATGGTACGGCATGGTATGCTTAGATTCTGTGCAAATACCAAGCTGTTGTCTAGAAGGGAATGGAGCACCTGCAGGTTTCCGGGTCCACAGGGGTCCTAGAACCAATCTTCTGTGGATGCTGAAGGATAAACGTGCTTTCTCTTTATTACAAGCATTTCATGAAGGGATAATCTGGGGGAAAAATCATTTGAAAACTTGTGAAGACTCCCCAAAATTTCTGCCTTTTCTAGCTATCCCTACGGAGGAAAGTTATTTCCATTACCATACCTTAAGAGAAAATAAAACTCCTGTTCTCTCTTCCCTACTCTCCTAGCATTGCTAATGTTTTTCTTAGAGTCACTTTGTTTCTCCCTGGAGAACTTTTTGTTAATGCTACTGCTCAGAAAGCCGAGAGTCACCGGTAAGACCTCTGGGCTGAGTCAAATGGAAAATCTTAAGAAGCCATTTACCAAAAAGGCTTTGGGCTTATTGGAAGGGCAGTCACATTTGAACATTTTGAAACCACCACATTGGGAGCAAGCCTTTTAATTAAGTGGAATTAATTTATATTTATTTGTATGTTAGTACCTTAGAAAAGAGTTTGAGGAGAGTTACAAGGAAAAACACTATGTGAAACATGGAAGCTGGAATAAATATTTGTAAACAGAGAATCGAGCAGGGGCGGGGAAATGTCTGGCCTGCAGGCCACGTGAGGCCTCTGAAACCATTTGGTGTGGCCCTGCCCAGGCACCCACAGGCAGGACTTGTTATCAATAAATCTATAGCAGGCTAGTTGTTAAGTTGATAAGTGTGTATGGCCCACAGAGGATGCTGTACATATCCAGATGGCCCCTGGCATAAGGAAGTTTTCCACCCCCTGATTCTAGAGTCTTGTAAAGACCAGGAAGGTCGGCAGGGTCCACCTGTGCGTGTGAGATAGTATGAGGAGTGGGTTTGGTTTCCACCAGCGGCCTGGGTATATGCAGTATTGAGATGTTATGAGATTTTCATTGCTGCGTGAAAGGAGACCTTCCTTGTCTGGAAAAACAGCCTTTCCTCAAATAAATTCCAAGAGGAATGTGTTGTCTAGACCTCTACATGTGTGTGATGGATGATGTCATAGATAATAACACGTGACTGTTGTGAAAGATACAGTAATGACCTTTGTACAACTGCTCCTAGAAATCTTCAGCAAAACCCTAGAACATCGTGTTGAATTGTCACTGTGTTGTAAAGATCTAGCCCGAGAGCCCTTTCTGACCCGAGAGGTGTGACTGTTACCAGCGCTGTCACTGTGCCTCATACAGATAGGATTATCACCATAGGCTTTGTATAGAAAAATAACACCTTGAAAGGGCGTATCTGGTGAACTTCCCTAAGTGGTTTTGAATTTAGGCAGGGGTGGGGGTGGCAGGGTGGGGGGTGGCTCTTGTTGATTGCAACAGGTACTTGTTGCTTGGGTTACTTTCTGCGTTTTGTCCTCCTGCAGCCTGTCATCCCTCCTGCCTGGCTTGTGTGGGTCCTGAGCTCTCTCAGTGCACCAGGTGTGTGAAGCCAGAGCAGGGCCTGCAAGTCCAGCAGCTTTCTGGGGCCCAGGTCCTGTCTGGGGAATGTCTGTCCCTGTGCAGAACCCACTTCTACTTGGAGAGCACTGGACTGTGTGAAGGTGAGTAAGCATGATTTGCAAAACTTGTGGGTTGCTTTGGGCTTACCTCTTGTGAGGTCCTGTGAGCTGGGACTGAACCCCGGGAGACTTGTGTTTTTACAAAAGAAGGGTTCCAGGATGCTTGTGGGTGAAGCAGGAGCCTGCCTTGCCAAACAGCGGCCCCTTGTCTGTTGCAACTCCCCTAATGAACGGCAGATGATCTTCAAGAGCTGAGTCCGTAGTCCTCTCCATAGTTCCATTCTCAGAAACCCCTTCAGAGGCCACTTTGCGTAGCTAAGAGAGACTCCATGTTCACTGTGGAGTTCTATTTATCATTTCTTCTAATTGGCCACTCTGAATATGAATCAGTACCCTCAGGGCAAAACCTGGACTTCTGTCAACACTGAGGAGTCATTGCTGCCCTGCCTTGCGTATCACCTGCAGACAATTGATGAGATCTCGAATAATTGGCTTTCATTACCAGGTCACCTGTGAGTGATCCAGAGACAAGGGGAAGGGAATCTTCCTGGGAGTGGCCTTGCTGTTGGAGGAATTCTTTGACTCTCAAGATACCTGAAAAAAATAATTCATACATAAACATAGATAAAACATAACGTATTCATTAAAAGAAATTTTGAACGTGGAAGGATGTAAGAAAATAATCCACCCACAATCTAAACCCAGTTACGCTTTACCACTTTGCTACAATACCCATGACTCTTTTTTCTCATTTATAGCTTTCGGTCTTTATTTTTGCAAATACCTGTGAACATGCTGCAATTCAGTACCTTACAAACCAACCTACTAAAGTGGCTTTAATTTCACATTAGAATGCATCCTCACTTGGAAAGGCTATGTTTCAAGGTCACGTTAAAAGACTTCAGGCACAATTAGTGCATAGCATGGGAAGAAGTATGCAGAATTAGTAGGCTGATGTCAAGATGCAATGGGTTAAGCCACGGCCTGTGATGCTGACATCCCATATGAGCACCAGTTAGTCTCAGCTGCCCTGCTTCAGATCCAGCTCCCTGCTAATGTGCCTGGGAGAGCAGCTGAGTATGGTCCAAATGCTTGGGCCCCTGCCACCAATAGAGACCTGTCCCAGCCCTAGCTATTGTGGCCATTTGGGGAGTTAAGCAGTGGATGGAAGATTCTCTCTCTCTCTCTCTAACTCTGAATTTCAAATAAATATTTAACTAAATCTTAGAAAAATGAGAAGTATGCAGGCTTGGAATAGAGAAACCCAGGGTCAGGCATTTCACCTATTTGAGCCTTTGCATTCATAGAGCTAAAATAGATATCTTTCACATTGGCTTTTTGCCAGAATCAAAGGAGATTAGGAGTGCAAAAGTGGCAGGTGAGTGATCAAGCCCATGCTCAGTAGGTGTGGGTCTCAATCCATACGCTCAGGTGTTCAGAAACATGAGAAGGGCAATCCCTGGTGCCTGGGAGGCCCACACTCCAGGGAGCTACAGTAGCACCCAGAGGAGTCACTGCTCTCCAGACACCCCAGTTTTCACTCCTATATGCACTGCCCAGACTCTCTGTGGTTCCTTAAACTCTTGTGGCTCTGATTCCATAACCACCATGGCATATGGGAATCTTTTTGACTCTTAGAGCCCCAGTGCTGCCCCAAGACGCGCAGCACATGACCAACACTCTCCATGGATTTGCTACTACTTCAGGTGGCTCTGTCGTGGAAGGCGGTGCGTCTCCTGATGCGTCTCCTTCCGTAGGGACAGAGACATGGGAGGGGCCACTATCTCCTCTCTGTTTAATTGTGTCTCAGATCTCTTCAAGGGGTTAGCCTCGCTAGACAAGCTTCCTCAAGCCCCTTCTGCCTTCTGGCGAACCCTAGAGCCCCTAAGGAAAATAATTACAGTTCCCAGCTCTGACTGATGTGGGAAAGAACAGGGAGGAAACTTTTATCTTTCTTATCTCACTTTCTCACTTGCTTGCTCTTTTTTTTTTTTTTTTGATGTTTTATTTGTTAGATTCTGTGTAATCAGTCTGCACAGTTCTTATAGCTTTGGCCTGTATGTCCTGAGGTTTTCTTGGAAACCACAGAGATATCAGACCTGCACAAACCCTGAACTTTCCAAGACTTCAGCGGGAGGCCACATGAGACCCATGGCTTTGATGGCACGCGGGTTGAGGCTACAGAAACCAGAGAAGCCCACGGGAGATCCCTCACTGTGGCCTGAGGACTCGGGTTTTCCCCTTGGCGTGGTGGTCCCAGGAGAAATGAGACAACATCTTCTGAGACTTCTCAGTGCAGTTGGCTGCTGCTTTCAGTTCTGAGCACTGTAGCAACAACAACCAAACTTTGGGGTGGGTCTAGAAGAAAGGAACCAAAAAGGATAGCCGCTGGTAAAGTTAGAGTTGTCAGATAATGAAAATTAGCGTGATTGGGATTCTCCAGCCCGGGAGATATTGTACCCATATAGTTGGTGTCCACTTTGAGCTGTGGGCCGCTGTGAGAAGTGCCTGCCTTGTTTTTGTTCACCTAGACCTGATGGGTAGCAACCTTCTGTGGTCAGTGGGATGCTGATTCCATAGAAGAAGCTGATACTTGAGGCTGTGACTTGCTCAGTCACGTAGCCCGCATGGAACAGAATCCCAGGGAAGCCCAAGCCCACCTGACTCCAATCCCCGTGCTTTTCAGCCTCACCCAGCCCTGTGGCTGCCTCGGAGCGGTGTGGATGCCTGTCAGAGGTGGTGCAGCTGCTCGTCTTTCTCCCATGGGGAGGAGGAGGAGCACAGCCTACTGGTGCTGCAGGATTGAGGCATCTTAAATTACGAAAGCATCTCTGAGCAAACAGAGTTGTCCGGGAATCCCTGTGTACCAGCATCTTTGCAAAAGGGTTAGAATCTAATCCCTGAGGAATGGCTTAATTGTGCTCTTGTGTGAAAGGACCGAACTGACCCCTGGATCCCCTAGCAGCCCTGTGATTTTATGCTTGTTAACATAATATTATTAGGTAGTATCACACAGATAGCTGTCTACTCACATTTATTACCAAATCCCTGTGCGATCGCCACGAGGTAGGTTGTTGCCTCTGATTTACACGTGATGAGAATGTGCCAGAAAGAGGTTAATTGAGTTGCCCAAGATTCCTTTGGGAACCTGAGCACAACAACCATCAGTTGTTTCCAACCTTATGGGACGCAGCTCCTGTCACTCATGCCGTATCTCTGGAAACCTCTCTACCTTCTTAGAATCTGCTCCATTATCTGCTCCATTTTCGATTCTGCCGAAGTGTTGTATATGGAATTAGGCCCGAGAGTCCCATGAGATTTTGCATGGGGCTCTTTCTCCCACACTTTCCCAGAAATACCCTTGCTGCTTTGCAGGGTATTTTATAGGGTTGAATGAGAGAGAGAGAGGGAGGGAGGGAGGGAAGGAGGGAGGGAGGGAGGGAGAGAGAGGAAGAGAGAACACAAGGGTGCATGCGCGCTTTTGGGAAGACTTTTTTGTAGCTCTTTGATCTCAAGTGTTTTTTTATGCAGAAGGGAAAAGTAACTCTTCCCTTCTTGGAGACTGCAGCAAAGAGTGATTAGAATATTACTGTAGCTAATGAAAGCAAGAGGGCTATGTTGTAGGAAGAAGCAATCTACTTGGAGGCTGAAATAGTGTCAGAAATTATGATAAAAGTTTTCACTCCTAGCTGTGTGACAAACCAAGGAATTATCTAGTGCAAGATGAAACCAAAGGACACTCGAGATATTTAATGAAAATCCAAGCCTATGATTGGAAGACCAAACGATCTATGTAAAATTAACACACAGTGCCCAAAGAGGACAGTTTACTGGAAGCTGAAGGAGAGTTGGTCTGTGTTCCTTACACGAATGTTTATGGAGTGTCTCGTGGGTGCCAGGCATTCTGGGTATTGGGGATGCACTAGCAGTAGATGAGCCAGATGAAAATTCCTATTCTCACAGAATTTATAGTCTAGTGAAACAAACGGATGATAACTGAATGGGGCAACAGAACTCATGGTACGCTCTTCAGTGATGGTCTGTGCTGTGGGGCCCACGGCCAGGTCACGGTGGAGAAGGAGGAATGGGTGGAGGCAGCTCCAAAGCAGAGCGGCTCTGGCAGGATGGGGATGGCCGCCTGCACTTGCGTGCCCATGTTCCTGTCTCGTCCTCCCAATGGAAGGGGGCGCTTCGGAAGCTAGAGCTGTGACGGTACGCTGCTTTCCCACGCGACCTCTGTGCTTGCAAAGTGAGGCTAGAATCGCTGATGCTGGAGAGGCTCTGTTCCTAACCCCAAGAGGTGACCCAGGGCGGGGTTTAGTAGACAGCTGAATTTGTGCATGTTTAATAAATGCCAACATGTAGCATTAGCTAAAAGAAGGCTGTTTGTCATTTCATTCCAAGTTCCAGGCCCCTATATGACTGAGTATTCTCTAGCACTGACAGATCTGAGTTCTAATAAAAATCCCAGAAACAGAAACCAAAACTTAAGAAACATCAGTCAATAAAACTAAACAAATGAATAATAACTCAAAGGCTCCAACCCAGCATCAGAAGAGCATCCCTTCCTCTTTGATCCTTCCCCTCCATCAGTTTCCCGTGCCTCTGTGTGAGTCTGAGTGTACTGAGTGTAGGTGAGGCCTCCAAGGTGGAGCTGGGTCGGGGGAGGTTGCTCAGTTACCCATCCGCAGGCCACCGCTGTCTTAGGAATCTGTGTGCTTGGTCCCGCTGGAGTCCTTTAGTGACAGGGCTGTTTGTGGCAGCCCAGGGCTGGAGGGACAGGAGGCCTTCCCTACGGATGCTCCTAGCACCAGGTCAGATTGCGCAGCTCAGTGTGGCGTCTCCCTTTACTCCTGATGAAAAAACATTGTTTAAGGACTCAGTTATTTTGAAGACTTAGCATTTAGTTGAGGTCTCTCTAGAGTGGAGCGGCTCATAGGAATCTCCTGGGAATCAACATGCAGGCTCAGAATGAGTAGGGCTGGGGTGGGGTCTGAGTTTCCGCCTTTGTGTCGTACTCTTGGTCGAGGCTGATGCCACTG